TAAAACCATTGTCAGGGTTTATGTACTCAAATTAACCCAGCTAGCATCTATACTATTAAAAAGTTGATATTTGCCTTAGTTTTTGAATAAGTCAGAAAAAATAATTTGACTATAATATCCTCTTATATTCTTTCCCTTTAGTTATATACGTCCATAAAACATACCCTTACACTAATTTTTATAAATTCATTAGCTTTATTGCTTGAAAATTTGTCTAAATATTAGAACCAATAATTGAACACTCCAGCATCATCATTAATATGTATGTATCCTAAGAGTGGCAATTTGTGACATAAATGGGTGTTTCAGTGGGTTTGAAAAACGGGTTGACAACCCACCAGATCAACTTTAAATGGGCATACTTGAATGGGTAATGGATACCTGTTACAGTGTGTGTGGGGTGCAGTTTCAGTTAGGTCAGACCCATTCAGCTCAACCCAAGACCAATTTACCCAAATCACCCAGTTCGTTCTCCATGAATAGACTTATTTACAGGTTGGGCTTCGGACTTGACTTTACATTGTTTTAGGTTTGGATTCAAATTAAGTACATTCAAATTTTGATAAAAGCCAAATCTGAATCCGGCCGATAAACAGCCAAAAGTCAGAAACGAAGTGATAATACTTTCTCTCTTTTGAGTTTTGAGAGCTTATTAAACTTAAGAGCTGCAAAACTCAATCAAGTTGGTTTCTCAAAATTTTTTTGGATTAAAGCATTTATATATTCCATTAGAATTACGATTTTTTTTAAAGAACCGGTCTTGACAGATTAGGAGCTTTCTATGGTATCTGAAAATTTTTGACCAATCAGTTAGGATTGATTTGGAAGGAATACAATGCTAAACCTTGTATTTTGTATTATTTTATATACATTTGTAATGTACATATTTCATATTTGTATTTATTTGTACTCTTTCCGAAGTGAGCCTATAAAATATATGCAGTACAAATCTATACAAAATATAAGCTTTTACACTCTACATATTTGTATTTATACTCCTTACATTCCAAATGGAGCCTAAAGTTTGGAAGAAGTATAAATATAAATATAGTGTAAAACCTTGTATTTTATATGTATTTATATTATACATATTTGTATTTTTACTCTTTTCAACTGAACCTCATTTTCTCACAAATATTAAAACGTTTCTATTCTCGATACATTGTTGCTCCTATTGTCTCGCCCATTTTTTCTTAAGGAATAGTTTTGACTTTGTATTTTGTATTATTTTGTATGCATTTGTATTGTTTATATTTATATTTGTTCTCTTTCCAAACTGACCCTAAACCATAATAAAGAAAAAAGAACATCACCTCAAGTGGTTGAGGCTGATCACTATCCATACCTACCCATGAAACACTACTTCTGTGCATTGGAAACATTTCTAAGATGTTCCTCATTTATGACTACGATCTCATGTAGGGTAGGTGTGGATAGAATTGTAGTGGGTTGGAAATCCGGACTCCTGATCACTAATGGAGCCTTGCCACAGGAAAAAAAAAAAAATCAGATCTGCACCCCACAACGTCCTATAGTATATCCCCGTTGTGTATTRGAAACATCTCCCAATAATAATACCAGAATTGATGATGTCATCATCAGAAAATATTCCTAATACACAGCAGGGATGTGCCATGAAACATTGTGAGGCGCCCTCGGCGCAGATGTAAACTCGAAAAAAAAAGTCTCATGTCGAACTCCTATTTGTAGGGTATGTCGACCCTCTACTGAGAAGCACTTTGATGATAAAGGGTAGACCTTTGGATCACAGAATACTTTGTCCACTACAAACCCATCAGATAGTCGATATAATGCATGTGGTCTGACATAAACTTGTATTTTTATTAATTAAATTTGGTTAGGTTTGAGTAGGCAAGTAAAGTGTTGCAATGCATGGGGTGGAATAAAAGTTCGGTTAGGTTTGGGTTGTCAAGTTTAAATTTTTAATAGAATTTTGGTTAGGTTTCGGCCGGACCACAATCTATTAAGTTTTTAATAGGTTGAAGCCTGACCCACAATCCAACTCAATTCATCTAATTTATATCCTTAGTTTATTAGTGAGAGTCAAAAGGGGTTTAAAGAGATTTAAGAGAAAAGGTAATTCATTTTGATCTGTTAATCACAGGAATGCTACCTACACTTACCTAGAAAACAATACARCCTTACATCAGGAATATCTCCTATACTTGTATGTTGCTATTCATAGGAAGATATTCTCGATGTACAGCTATAAAATCTTATGAGTAGTGTGGAGTAAGGTTCAAAATATCAATACATACCGGTGGTCTCCCGATAGGCCCCTACAGTGAGTGTTTCAAGGTCTGACCTGATTTAGGGGGTAGACAGACCTTAAACCAATCTCTCTAAACCAGTTTGAAAAAAAAATACAGATTGATATGCCCCAACTGGCATATCGGCCTGTATTAATATTTTGAACCATAGTGTAGAGTAGTGTTTTTGTGCTTAGCAAATCCATAATGGGATTTAATAGGGGAGGGGAGCAGAAAAAAATAATAGAATCTATTGAAGCAACCCACAGCCCTACCCACAAGACACTAAGCTGGCTGCTCATTGGGAACATCTCCCCAGGTTACAAGGGAGTTGTTCCTGATGTGCAACTGGCCAACTGTAGTGGCATGTGAGCAAGGCAGTGGAAAGAGTTTGTGGGTAAGAGATCCGAGCTGGTGCTGACCCCATCTATTCAGTAATTTAGAGTCTTATCCAAATATCTAATTGCTCAAGAGTTTCAAATTAAAGAAATCTATTACAAAATCAATGGAATCTTGCAACAAAATGATTTGAAGAAGGAATTAATAAAAGACTTTGTATGTCAACGTCGAGTGTAGATATAGAAATATCATGTCATGAGACTGTGTCCTCTCACCCCTCTCATCTCCTTTAGAACTGCTTTCAGAAGAAAACAAGCAAGAGAGGAAATCTGATTGAGGTAGTTCCTTGCTGCTGCTGCTGCTGCAGATGGGGAGGCTGATCATTGATGATGTGGAATGCCTATTCATCTTTGTGATAGTTCTGGCTGGGCTCATAGCATGCCACCTAATTAAGCAGCCACCGCGACCGCGGCCGCGAGTTTGTGTCAAAGTTCACTGGTGGTGCAGTTGTGACTGCTGTTGACACAAATTCTGCTTATTTGCTTATTGTTTTTGTCGATCTTCTGCTTGGTATCATTATATCATACCAAATATTAAGCACTTCTAATAAAAAGTAGTATTTCAATGTTATGTTGGTATATCTTGGTTTAACTGTTGTATGGTGAAGTTTATTGGACTTCAACCTTTTCTTTTTCTGTTCTCCTCCCTTTTCTGTCTTTCTTTGTTGAGTAGATTACTTGCATTGAGCCCAAAAGGCCCCCTACCTCATCAACTGTCAGGATTGGCCTCATGATTCTTCCTCAAGGCCAAAAATATGTACTGAAAAAGGAGTTTTATGCACTGAGAAAGGGATGATGATCTTCATCTTAATTCATTGATATTTTCTTATTCATTAAGTATGGTTGGGATTCATCTGTCTAATTAACACAGCTCTGTGATTGGCACCTTGAATTTCTCATGGGAGGGCAATATTTCTCAGAATTATATAAATTTATGCATTCTCTTCAGCTTCTTCTATCAAGATTTTCTCAAGGAAACTGGAATTTCATTCCATCTGTTTTTATTTGTTTGTAAAGCTCTTGCTATCGATAAATTCAAAAGCTTGGTCTTGGCTTGGTGGGATTTTTTTTTGTATATATTTTTTATCATTCATCTACCAGAATCTTGGTTTGGTGGGTTGGAACTGTTTCTTAATACAAATAATGTCTAAAATGGAGTCAAGATTCCTCTCTGAAATGATGCTCCAAGTAGGCACTCAAATGCAGTCAAGATTCCTCTCCCATGCCCTCCTCTGAGCTCTAGCCATTCGTTACCCATGCACCTAAGGGTGTCAATGGATCGGTTTTGGACTGGACCCTGTCTAGTCCAAAATTAATTTGGACAGATTGGACAGATCAAAAAGACAGTGGATTGGACCAATCCGGTCCAAAATATTTATTAGATTGGACTGGACCTGTTCCGTCCATAATAAATTTATATTGGATTTGGTTGGATTAAGTCAATATCTGGTCCATTGGTATAAGATAAGAATATAGGTGTCAATGAACTGGGTTTGGGTTGAAATTAATCTAAATTAAAATGAATTTGAACAAAATGGACAGTCCGAATATTGAATTGAATCGGTCCAAAATGGTCCAAATTATTTATTAAATTGGATTGGACATGATACATTTATAATGGACTCACATTTGACTGGATCGGATTGAACCAAATTCAGTCCAATGGACACCTCTCCATCAGTCCATGACCAACTTACGCCATCCCTACCCCTCTGGCCCCAATTACTTTTTTTTCCCTTTTCAACAAGGCAAGGCTTCATAAGTCATAGCTCATAAGTTGCAAGTAATAGAAAGCATGGTTCAAAGTATGAACACGCAGGATACATAAATACACGGCTCTGATACGCCCCTACAGTGGGTGTATCGGAGGTCTGACCGATTCAGGGGATAGAGGAGACCTAAACTGACCCCCCGAACCGGTTGCCAAAAAAAATGTGTATCGATTAACCAGATACGCCCCTATCGGAGTATTGGGCATATCGATATTTGTAGCCCATTTCCTCTGAAGAACTACTGGCTGATATCTGTCAACTGTCAACTCTTAAGCACTATTTAGCTATTGACAAATTCTTAGTTCCCTCACCAAAACATTGTATTAGGTCTTTAAGTTGAAATTGGAAGTTGTCGCCGTGTCCAATCAACGTACCAAAGAAACCAAAACAAGAACTTGAATTCAACATTTTCAACGTTTCAGTTCCCTCACCAATTGGTAGTACCCACTTCGGCACTTCCTATTATCAAAGGAACCAAAACATCAACTGTTACATTCCACATTTTCAAAGATGATGGCATTTTTCAATATTGAACAAGCCCATCAAATTAGGAAAAGAAATACAAAATCAATTGAATTACATTACACCAGTGGAAAATATTTTACACAAAATTGGTCACATGGAATGGCTGTATGACGACGACTCGAATGAACCAAGGTTCCAGGCTTGGACACTCTCCAAGTTACTTGGCATTGGGACTTTCTGTTAGTATTCCCACTTCTCCGATTCGGTTTGATTCACTTGGTCAGATACGTGATAGAGAACATCAAGAAGAGCTTTTTATAAGACAGTAATTTGTGACTCACTCAGTCACTCTACCTCCTTTTGCACTCTGTCCTCCAGAGCATAAGTCCAACCAGGTAAGACATGAAATTCCATTTCTGCTTTTCTTTCTAAAATCATGAATTTCGAGAGCCTTGGACCATCAGAGCAGTACGCTTACTACTGTCTGAACGATGTCCATCTGCTTTAAACCCAATCTGGAAGTCCAAATTATATTCAAAATATCTTAAACCACATTATCATCAAAAAAATATATACATATCTTAAACCACATGCTATGACAAGGATAAGACCACAAAACTACAACCAAACCATGAGAGGTGACAGATGCCATGGCAGAAAAATTACCTCACTTTGATCACTATCGGGGGAGAACCACCACAATAGCACTCCAAGATGTACAACGGCAGGTATCAACTTGAAAAGCAATGGAGTAGTCACCTGCATTACTGAAGTCTAAGTGATCCACACAAACTCTTAAAGTCAGAATAAACTAACTATAGGAAGAAATTGCTCTTGCAAAGACAAAAACCATGTCCAAGCAAATATTGCTTCATGGATATTCCTATCCCACACAAACTCTAAGTCCGTTCAAACCATACCTAATCTACACCAAATTGTCTAGTGACTCTAACCTGGCAGAGCAACCCTCATTAGCAAAAATATAATTTATTGAAATCTGCATGTGTGATCCCATGACCATATTCCTATCCCATAGTGGATGTTATTTGTTACTGCCACTACCTCTCTAGTTCCAGAATTGCTTGGCAACTGTTCCAGTGGTATCATATTATTATGAATGATTGTTACCTTCTCTWATCTTCCTACTCTTCCTTCCCTCCCCCTCTCTCTCCATTTCTCTCTGTTTCAGGAGGTTAAGTCTCCCTCGAAGAGACTTCCGAGGTGATGGTTCCACCAATGGTGCAGAACAAAGAACTTGTGAACCTTTTGCAGTAATTTCCTAATCAATTAAGCAGATCAAGCCAATATGAAAAATCAGTGATCCTGGCATGCCATTCAATTGGCTCATGGCAGAGATAATGTAGAAAACCGATTGGATGATCCTTGCCATACTACTGTGCCTTCTTTGTCATCCAAAGACTCGTCTCTAAATTGGATTAGTTTAGGTTATATGTAAAATGTATATCCTCATGTGCTTCGATTCCCAAGAACTGAAATGCAAATATTAGTTGCAATATGATCCCAAAGCCACACCACATACCAGACTAAGAGCTGTTGTGCCAAGCAGCAGGTACAGTTTTCCCCGTAAAGATGAATAAACTTGGAGTAATTGGCAAGGGGAGGCTTAATATTCTTATTGTGCACTTGTTAAACTCAAGAGCAAGGAGATATTAATCTGATATAAGACCACTCTGAAAAGAAGTAATGAAAAAAAAGGGAAATGCCAACCTCAACCAAATGAAGATTTGATGCACGACTGAAGAGAACAAAAGCAAATTCCCCAATTTGTGCCAAAGACATTCCAACCTACGAATAAAGAACCCAAGTTTCATCATCAAATGCAATATACATGGTTCAACGGTACAAAATATCTGATTTCAGAAGGCACAAAATATCCATGTAAGCCAAATAAAATCTTACAAGAATTGAAGTCTTGTTGTTGTAGCCAAATCCCTTAACAACTGTGGCTATCACAAATGTTTTTATAATGATCACCAAAATAACAGCTGCAAGTAAAATATAAACATGGTTCCAAAGGAAATGGACATGGATAAGCATTCCGATGATGGCAAGAAAAAGAGCAGCAAAGTTGTGAATGGGTTCGACCTGCAAAACAGAACAAACCAAGAATTAGTCCATGCATCAAATCACTTTAACTGCTAAAGCCACTAAATGTTGATACAACTATATATCTGGCATGATGCTTAAGAATTTATTCAAACTTCATTAAATTCATATAAATTTACCCACAACATCAGAGAAATGGTTAGCCCATCCCAGGAAACCACTTAACTGACTAAAGTAGGTAAAGAAAATAAGTACAACCCTGGAATAGATGCCAAAACCTGATAATTAAAATTTCAAGAAAATGTCTTGCCTCAATACATAAATTATGTTTCAATTGTTCACAACTCACTTGTAACTATAAAGCAAAGTTCAATTATTCCTGTTATTCAGAAACTTGAAATGCAATGTACAGGAACAGCGTATTGCAGACCAATACCAGTTTCCTAGTTATACTTTTACAAGGTTTCCCCCTGCCTAGGTGATCCCCATAAAAGAAATTCTCTTGAAACCTGCAGTCGTGCAAAGAAATCTACAAGCTACTTCCTGGTTGTGAATAACATTTTAGTCATCCCTATAAGAAGATTTTGCTCCATTTGTTTGAGGCATATAACACAAATCGCTTCCTTAGTTTGTAAGAAGAAAATAGTATAGTGTCACATTAAATTTCTTATCATTCATGAAATAAGAAAATAAACAAATAAAATCATCTAAAGAATACAAGAAGCCCCCACTCAAAATGCTGAAAATTACAGGCAGAAAATCAATCATTAAATTCAAGCACCTCTAATGARAKAACAAAATAAAAAACAGACTTGCCTGTTCAAGTGTATGTTGTGCAAGATCAGTGGTTGATATCATCACACCCGCAGCAAAGGAACCTAATTCAAGGCTTAGACTGAGCTTATCACTACACTGAAATGGTAAAATTAAAAAAGAACAAAAAAGAGAGTTAGAAAACATGGAGATGAAATATAAGCATTGTAGTAACAAAGTTGTACAGGTACCATAGAGAAAGAAAGGGGTGAGGGCTTGTTCTATATAAACAAGTCCTGACTCCACAATTCTGGTCATTAAGGTCTTATAAGGGGACAAAGACCAATGTGAGAACCTTGTTAGGAGGACAAGAGGCTGACAATGTGCCCTAATTACTACAATGTGATCACCCTTTAATAACATATCTATCATTTCTACTAATAGAATGAATGTAAAAAAGCTACACCAATTTTGAAGGAAGAAAACTAACACAGTGAGTTCAAAAGCTCCAAAGGAAAAGAAAAGAACAAAGAATTTCCATCCTTGCTGTCTTTATAGTCAAGAGGAGGTATCTGTATCACATATGTTGGCTCACTGCAGTTTACTTGTAACTTGTAGCAGTTGGACACACTTTTACAGTTGGAAAGCATTGGGTGATCCCAAGGGACATAAATACTCTTATCTCCTCTTAGCCTTCAAATGGGTTTATCACTTCTCTAATCAATGGAAATGGATCATATGGGACAACAGCAAACTGGCAAAGAGGCTCTCTTGAGAGAGTTTRAGAACTCCAACTGGCTTACTGTAGCTGGCTGAGCCACCAAGGCCATGCACTAATAAGCATCATATGTATTTTATAGTAACAGACTGTCTGCACAATTACCAAATGAAGACTTAAGGTTATCTTTAAAGATTTAAGACTGTGGAGGGTACAAATAATTTCTACTTTCTAAAGGCTTAACTGCTATGGAGCCACAGAGGTTATTGCAACAATTATGATTACAAAGTGGTTCTTTGTATTTTTTCCACCACTACTTATCATAGGTTATTTTGATTGGTTCATTGTAGTTTTCTACAATTTCCTTTCATTAATAAAGTTACAGTTATCTGTTACCATCGAATAAAAAGAAAATATGATCACAAAGTGAAGATAAAACAAACACATCAAAGCTAACACAAGAAATGCAAATAAGTCCAAGTCCTGAGAAGAGAGACAAACCCAAGCAACAAGTAAACAAAACGCAACTGAAGCCAGCTGATAAAGTTCATTTGTCAGGACAGATAAGACCAGTCAAAATCATGATAAGATGTAAGCACTTCAGCATAACAGAATATAAGACTGAAATCATTTTCCAGTAGCTCTGTCATTTAATAGAAGCCACACCTGCGATGATAGACTTATTATCAGCTTAAGGAACCAAGGTACACACGTACGAGACATTATTGACAAAATGGCCAAAAATGAAATCAACAGAACCAACCTGATAGAGGGAAAGTTCAGTATCAACTAATAGCCATTGTTCGACACAAAATAACACAATTAAGAATATCTCAAGAGTGAAGTTCATAATCACCTTGGAACAAAGATAATATATTCAAATTATTAATTCAATTCGTAAAAAAAAAAAAAAAAGAAATATCATTACATATGTTGGGGAGTTGGAATGGGGGATCTACTTCAAATGTAACATTGATGTACCCATGGAAAGCTATTGAGGAAATCCTGCCTCTTTCCCTAAAGAACATCAGGTAATGACCCCCTTTTTTTATAAATGGTAAATGGTATTTGAATTTATATAAAATAAAGGAGGAAGAGGTTTCCTCAAAACTGTACAAGGAACTATATTCTATAGAGAGATAAATACAAAGGGATAAGACGGTCAACTAGCATAGCTTAGGTTGAATACGATTTGCACCCAATTGTCTGTAGCTTGAATGTAGGATGTGCCCCTCAATTCCTTTTAGAATAGAAGGCCATTGAATAAGGAGTCTCTCAGCATTGGCTATGATTTTGTCTCTTGGGTTTATTTCCCTATCAAATATTCTGCCATTACCTCTCCACCCAAATAGACCAACAAAAAGAATGCAATTTCCACAAGATGTTACCCTTCCTGCTTAGCTCCAAGGTAGACCAAACTGAGATTAGCTTTTCTAAATTCCTGGGGATCACTCAAACTCTACAAAATAGCTGAAAAAAGCGCATCCAAATACTGATAACCAGAGGGCAGTGCAAGAAGGATAAGAAAAAATGAGTTGCATTAGGCTGCTATAGCTGATCAGAAGGAAATGATTCTCTAAAGGTAAGTATGGAAACACTGTGTGAAACAGACTAGGTATGATGCCCTCTGCTTTTCTACTTTTTCTCTCTCATTGCATTATACATTCTTTCTCTTAAATTTTGAAGCACTAAGCCTGCTTGATCTGTTACCAATTTTTATTTGAAAAAACTAAGAATCATGTAAAGGCCATTCCCCCATTTTCTTGTTTTTCCTTTCAATAAATTTTATTTCCAAATCACTTCATACATGGAAGTGAACTTCTATCCATCTGCAATACTAGTTAACAATTTCATCAAAAGTAAAAGGAACAGGAACCACTAAAAAGGGGAAGGGAATTTGCAGGTTCTTTACTTACGACTTAGTCATGGATATTACTCCTTGAAGAACACCAGAAATACCACCTAGAACTGGAAGCAGTGCAAACAGTAAACCCACAGCACAATCCTGGTACATGAAGAAAACTTAGAGTTCAACCACGAGTCTGCTTATATAAAGAAATCAGAGAATGTTTAAAGAAAAAAGCAGTTCTGTGGAAGAAATCACTAGGAGAACAATTGGGTCTGTACATTAATAGCTGGCTGTGACAGATTTATTTAAGCACATCTCCCACCATTTTTTTTTTTTTGAGTCTGCTACTTTCTTTTTGTGATACTTGCTAGAAAGTTTTGGGCCTACCTACATTCTTTTGTATAGTTTCTCACTTTAGATGGTAACAGCTTCTAAAAAAGTAATACAATACTTTTTCTCAAAAAATAGACAAATGTTCAAACTGACTAATGTGGCAATAAAATAATATATATATATATATTTGTGTTCGGTGGTTGAATTCCCAGTAAGTAGTCAGTTCATGATATGTATTAAAAGTTAATTAAAATGGCATTCATAAATGGAATATAAGAAGATGTTCCATACCTGGAGAATAAGGGTCCCAATTGTGACCTGGTCATGTAGAGCATTTATACTATTTCTTTCCATCAAAAACTTCAAAACCTGGGGTGCAGACAAGTTGAAACATGTTATAGAGAGATAGACCATCTAATCTCTCCCCAACCCTTGTTTGGCTAAAGCATCGGCCAAGGAATTAGCACTTCTTTTGACCCAATGCAGCCCCACTTCCATGTCTTTTCAGCCATCTGAATTTCTATTTTTCATTATTGTAATTCCACACTTTGCCTCTTTGTAGCCAACCCACAACCAGCTTGGATTCTCCTTCAATGATTAGGTTCCTAATATTCAAATTTCTTGCCCTTTGTACTCCCTTGAGCATTCCATAGCTTCAGCCCTTAAAGAGGCATCCCCTACACCAATCAGGCCTGAATATAATGTAATTATATTCCACACTTTCCATAGCATCCCCTACACCAATCAGGCCTGAATATAATGTAATTAATTTGCCCTCATCATCCCTAAACACCCCTCCTATTCAAACCAATTGGTGAATAGTGATTCATGCATTCTTTGAATAATGCATACAATGTGTCTCAAACATGAACACTTTTATTTTTATTTTTTTTATCAATAACTGTGGATTCAATTAATATTAAAAAATGAGCACTTTTATCTTTACCATTCTCACTATATAACCTTGTAAACGCAAATCCCACATTTTTTAACATGTATTAGGGATCCAAAATCACAGCAATGGCTAAAATTGGAAATGTGATCTTTACCCCAAACTCTGATTCAAAACCAATTGTATTATATATACAAGAACATATCACCAATAGTCCATGCACGAACATGAACCATCTTTGAAGTGGTGAAAACGATGGCGATCCCTCACCACAATTTCACGCCCATAGACTCTTGAGATGGCTTTTGCTGCCATATGGCAATCACCACATATACGTAAGTTTTTCATTATCCTAATAGGTGCTGGTGGGTTAGTGCTAATAAGCCCAAAGGCAATTGCAAGTTTTTCACTATGCCTATATAGAGTACTTTCTTTCTCTTCTTCATCTATGTCAAGAGCAACAACATTGGTCTCTGGGGCATATCCTTCCATCTTCAATCTCTTGGCCATCTCTTCCAACATTCTGTCAATCTCTTTTATTCTTGGGTGTGCCTTATCTCCTGCTAGAAATTCATGAACCACACCATTGGCTTCAATCAAGCTACAACCTGGGATTTTCACCACTCCATGTTGTTTCATCATCCCTCTAATCTCTATCACATCATTCCACTTTCCTTTTGAAGCATACATGTTAGATAATAATACATGAAAACCATCGTGGTCAGGCTGCAACTCAATGAGCCTCCTTCCCACTCTCTCCCCCATCTCGGTGTCACCATATTTCCCACAAGCCCCAAGCAGGGCACCCCAAGTAGCAATATCTGGCAACATAGGCATGCTCTGTATTAGGTCCTCTGCCTCTTTAAGAAGGCCTGCACGACCAAGAAGATCAACCATGCATCCATAATGCTTAACATTAGGTTTTATGTTGTGTATCTGAACCATTGAATCAAAGTGTTGGCAACCCTCATCCACTAAGCCTGCATGCCGACAAGCCCCCAGGACCCCCACAAAGGTTATTTCATTTGGCACTACTCCACACCTCTTCATAAGTGAGAACTTCTCAAGAGAATCCTTGACCAACCCATTCATAGCCAGGCCCCCAATGAGAGCATTCCATGTAGAAACCCCCTTTTCCTCCACCCCATCAAATACCTCCAATGCGCTTTCCACACACCCAAATTTCATGTACATGTCTATAAGTGTTGTACCAAGGATTACATTGATCTTTAAGCCATTCTTCTGTATGTAAGCATGAACCCATTTGCCTTGATCTAAAGCGGCCAAGTGGGTGCAAGCTGAGATAACACTCACCAATGTGGTCTCGTCAGGCCTAATTCCATTGAGTTGCATTTCATGGAATAGTGACAAGGTTTCTGAAAACTGATTGTGTTGCGCATAACCCGATATCATTGTGCTCCACGATACAATATCCTTCACAGGCATTGAATCAAACAATCTCTGTGCATCTTCAATTGATCCAGATTTCAAATACCCGAAGATCATAGAGTTCCAAGAAATCTGGTCTATGTTCTGGATAGCATCAAATATTCTCCTTGCTGCAAAAATGTCCCCACAGCTTGAATACATGTCAATTAGTGCATTCTGAAGATTAACATAGGACTCAACTCCATTTTTTATGGTCAGTCCGTGAATTAACTGCCCTTCCTTGGTTGCAGATAAGCCTTCACATGCAGAAAGAACAGTAACTATCACAACCTCATCCACCATAATGCCCTTGGCATGCATTTGTACAAATAAAGCCCAGGCCTCTTCGAGCATGTCATTTTGCTTATAAGAGGAGATTAAAGCACTCCACGAAACCATATCTTTCTGGGGCATCTCATCAAATAACTTACGAGCCTCACTCACGCAGCCAACGCTTCCAAGGAGTGATATCATAGAATTTGATGCAATAGTATTCCTGTTTGGCATCTGATAGAATATTGACCTTGCTTCTTCCACGTCTCCAATCCTAACATATGCAGCTAATATTGAATTCCACGTGACCAAATCCAATGCAAGACTCTCGTTGAACAGCTTTCGTGCATCATTCAAGCTCCCACAAACAGCATACATATGGATTAATGTATTCTGGACATAAGCATCTAAGTCAAAGCCCATTTTCAGAACATGATTATGGATTTCTCGTCCTTCTAGTTCAGATAATCGAATGGAACTAGCTTGAACTAGAATTGGGTATGTGTGGTTATCCGGGTCAACATTCTTCTCCAACATTGATTTGTAGAGGACTATTGTAGATCGAGGAGAACTCTGCAAATATGCCCTCATTAGGGTGTTCCAAATAAAGCCATTTGGGGTTTGAATTTGACCAAGTATCCAACGAGAGTAATCGAGGGGGACAAACTGTGAATCAGTGGAGAACTTAAGAAGCCGGCTTGCAGCAAAAGTATGGTTGATCAATCCTGAAACAATCATCTGACAATGCACTTGGTTGAGGTGCTTCAGATTCTGGCATTTCTGCAAGATGGTATCTAAGACTGAAGCATCTATTTTCAACGTGGAATTTCGATTAAAAGATGACTTAGTGGCTGCCGAAATACAGATTTTTGAGAAATTCATAGACCAAACTGATCATAACCCTCTTACACCATGGTTTAATAATTTCTTTTCTGCTTGGCAAGTTCTTTGGGCTGAAAATCTTGTGCTGATCCAAGTTTGATCCAAACCATCCAGCTCTCTCTATAGTTGTGTTGAACCACTTCCTAGATTAAGAAATAGGGTAAATTGCTGCAACCTCCCCTGAAGTTTTGACAGTGACTGAAACCTACCCTGAAGTATACAAACAGCAGTCAACTCCCCCGAGGAAACTAATAGACTTCGACATAAATCAACAAAAAACGCAGAGAGGGGTTTTTCAAGTTAATCCAAAAAATCTCAAGACACAGAAGGAATGATCTAACCAATCAAAAACCCCACTCAATTATATCAAATAAAATAGATTTTACAGCATACTTACTATACTATTAGGACTCGTCAATGTTTTTAAAGAAATTCTGTAAAAGCCTACAAGATATTGGAGGCTAATATTGAAAGTAAGAAGGAATTGGCAAAATGTTGCAAAGGGTTTCAGCTGAAGGCGCAACTAGCTTAGGGATTGTTTGATAGTTGCTCAATTGGTTGAACTGAATTACTTTATGGTTTGTACTTTAGAAGGTGAAAATCATTAGGATTACTTGTCAAACAGATTGTATCCAATCCAACATTTAGGCATCTTGCAGCTCTTGTTGATGCAATTAATTCTGAGAAGCTCTTGTTAATCATCAATCAGAAATCAATCTTATGATACTGAAATTTTCCTTCGTATACAAATACAAAGCAGAAAATTAGACATCGAATACTGGACCCAGTATTTGGTAACAAAGAATCTTAACTCTGTAATGCAGAGAATTAATCGCAGTAGCTCTAGTTCCTCTCCCTAAACATTCATTGTTATTATTATTTTTATTATATTTTTTCATTTTTATATATTTTATTTTCTTTTTAGTATTATATTAATTTATTCTCGTCGACCTATCATCCTAATAACCACCAGGAACCTTACACCAGCAATCATCCTTGGCTGTAGTTAACTGCCGCCTAAATACAGATTCAACATCTTCAGTCCAGTTTCAAGAAATCAAATTAGGTTATCATTCATTCCAATTCACACAACTAAAACGTAATTTGCTAAAACATATTATAACTAGCAGGGATCGTGCATCGGATTTATTAAGCGAAAGCTAAATAATAGAAAGGATCATTTACCAAAATACCTCTTATAGTTTCATGGATTTACTAAAGTCTACCCTATAGTTAAAATTTTACTAAAACACCACTTATAATTTACAATGGATTTAATCAATCTTTCATTATATGATAGTGGAAAATAACAGTGTTGACCCTAATGTTCACTTAAATAAATTTAATCAAAAGAAAATATAAATAAAAATATCATTTTTGCCCTTTATAAAACACAGGCAACCACTCTATTGGCTATATTTGGTTAATTTTGTTTTTTATATAAAAAGTGTTAAGGGTATTTTTGGAATAAAAAAATCATAGGCCTAATGGCAAAACAAACACTCCTTAATGAAAGATTGATTAATTAAATAAGTTGTAAAATATATAGAATGTTTTAATAAAATGAAAACTATAAGGTAGGTTTAAGTAAATATGTAAAACTATAAAATGTGTTCTTGTAAATGACCCTTATAAAATCACATGAGAGTATACAATTATTTTATATTTTCAATTTTTAAATAATTAATAATTATTCATATTTTATATACTATTTTTAATAACTTTTATATAATACAAAAATAACAATAATTAATTTAAGTTAGGTTTATTCATCAAACTGATGAAATCGACCAACCCGATCGACTCGACCCGAGTTGGTCGATTTTTTAGTATTTTAGGTCAGCTTTGGTTAAAAAATTTTCCAATTCGACAAAGTTGGATCAATTTCACTTTGGTCATTTGTAAACCGACCAAAATCAAATGACCTAACCATGGATATATATTAATATTTTATATTTTAAATATAATTTTTAATATAGAAAAGTGGAAAAATTCTCATATTTCTTAGTCTAAAATGTTTTATATCATAAATCTAATTTTTAAATTTATTTTTTAATAATTTCACTATAATTTTTAAAATTTAATTTAATTTTTATGTTTAAATCTTTTGAACCGACTAACCAAATCAAAAAATCAACCCAAACCGATACAACTTGAGTGGGTCGGTTTTCACAAAAGGTTAGTCGGCTTTAGTTAACCAACTCCCTAATTTGACCAGGTCAATTTGGTTGGCTAAATAGTCTACAACCGAACCGAACCAACTCATGAACACTCATAATTTCAGCTAAATTAACAGTTTTATCTCTCATAAATAACAATAATTTAATCTTCAGTAATTATTGAAAATTTATGGCAAAAATACACAATTAATGAAAATATATTGATAATGAAAAAATACATTAAGAATTAAAAATATATTAATTTAGTCAATAAATAGTATAATCTCAAATAATAATTTAATCTCTAATAAATATTAATCAATAAGTTATAACAGAAATACAATAAGTACAATAAATAAAATTTAAAAATTTCAATAATAGTAGTTTAATCTCCAATAATTATAGAAAGTTTTCTATTATATAAATAACAAAACAAAATAAATTTATACATAATCAATGAAAATAAACTCATCACAAAAACAATAAATAATTACTAAAATACAATAAATATTAATTTTAGTATATATAATTATATAATAAATACATATTAAGAGTTTAAAATTATTATTAATAAATACAATTTTTTTTAAAGTTATTTTCTCAAATTATTACTTGATATAAGTGAAATTAGTTATTTACAATATTATGTAAAAATGTTATTAATTTCAATATTATGTTATAATTATTTTTCTACTTTATAGAATTTTTTTAATTTATTACATAATTTTTTTTTAACTATTTAAAATCTAGGTATGTTAAATATTTTGTTGTTTAAAATACTTAGTTATTTAAATACGTAAATAATATGTAAAATATTTAAATTTTAAATTATTTATTGAATTTAATCATCCATAAAATCACAATTTATACTTGCATAATTTCATTATTATTTTTGTAATATATTAAATTATTATTAATTTAAATATTATTTTATAATTATTTTTCTACTTTGAAGATCTTTTTAAAATTTATTACATAATTTCGTTATTTTAACTATTTAAAATCTAGTTATGATAAATATTTAGTTATTTAAATATTTAAATAATCTATAAATAATTTAAATTTTATTTAAAATCTATTACATATTATTAAATATTTGAAAAACATTTAAATCGATGATCCGGAAAAACATAATTTAAATTGTTAGTACATAATTTTGTGATATATTTTGTAAAATTATAAAATTATTTATTAGATAATTTTGTTATTTTATCTATGTAAAATATAGTTATGATAAATATTTAGTTATTTAAATATTTAAGTAATCTATAAATTATTTAATTTTTTTTTAATTTTATTTATTTAAAGCTTTTACATATTATTAAATATTTTAAAAGCATTTAAATTGATAATCCAGAAAAACATATTTTAAGATGTTAGTACATAATTCATGATATATTTTGTAAAAATATAAAATTATTTTTTGTGTTTTTAATAAATATTTTAAGGTTATTATATAATTTTGTTAGAATATTAAAATAWTTCTTAAATTTTTTAATCCAAACTTTCTTTAGATAGACATAGATAAAAAGTAGGGGAGATGATAAATAAGAATTGGAGATAATTTAGGAGAGAAACTCTCTTCTAAATTAGAGATAATTGTGGAGATAAATAGGAATTAGAGATAATTTAGATGATAAATAGGAATTAGATATAATTCTAGAGAAAGTGGGGGAGGTAGTTTAGGATAAATTTTATGAGAAGAGATTATTTAGGTTATTGGGAAAGTGCATTTTATTGGTTGTTTCAAAAATGGCATGGAATAAAAAAACAAAAAATTCAAGAAAAGGAGAAAATTTCTTGACCGCTTTGTTTTAATATATATTATAATTTAATTATTAATTTTAATATTATGTTATAATTATTTTTCCACTTTGAAGAATTTTTTTAATTTATTACATAATTCCATTATTTTAACTATTTAAAATCTAGTTATGATAAATATTTAAAAATTTTCGTTATTTGAATTTTATTTATTTAAAGCTATTACATGTTATTAAATATTTTAAAAACATTTAAATTAATAATCCAAAAAAACATAATTTAAATTGTTAGTACATAATTTTGTGACATATTTTGTAAAAATATAAAATTATTTCTTTGTATTTTTAGTAAACATTTTAAAGTTATTATATAATTTTATTAGAATATTTAAATAATTCTTAAATTTTTTAATCCAAACTTTCTTTTAGATAGTATAGATAAAAAGTAGGGGAAAGGATAAATAGGAATTAGAGATAATTTAGGAGAGAAACACTCTACTAAATTAGAGATAATTTTGGAGATAAATAGGAATTAGAGATAATTTATAAGATAAATAGGAATTAAAGATAATTTTGGAGTAAGTGGGGGATAGTGGGGGAGATAGCTTATGTGAAATTTTAGAAGAAGAGATTATTTAGGTTATTGGGAAAGTGTTTCTCATTGGTTTTAAAAAAAATGACATGGAATAAAAAATAAAAAATTCAAAAAAAATGAGAAAATTTCTTCACCGCCTTGTTTTAATATGTAGATAGATTATATAATAATATATAGTATATAATATATTAATAAAATAAATATTTTTTTAAATTTTGTTATATCAATTTATTTAATTATTGTATATATAAGCATTTGTATACATGAAATTCATATAAAATTAAATTTTAAAGTTTTTTGTAATTTTTTTAAATAAAAAGCATGGGCCCGACGCACGGCCCGACCTGGTCCAAGGCTTGGCCCGCAGCACGGCACAAGCCCGTACAGACCTATACCGTGGGCCATACCAGGCCGACTCCAAATTTTTCACTAGGGAGGGCAGCACGACCCATAACGGCCCGCGGGCCAGCACAGCATGGCCCACGCAATTTACACCTCTAGCTGAGATAGGTATGGGCAGCATAGTGTAGGGTTTTGCATGTACAAGCTAGCGAGATTAGCCAAAATAGAATCTTTTTAGATAGAAGGGTAAATGAGGGTATTTTTTTTTAAATTTTACAGGGTGTCGTTTTTTGATATTATGAGTTGATTGGTAAGGTAGGATTGGCCAAATTGGGCCCAGATTGTGCAGATCTGGAAAGGGCTTGATTCAATTAATCTAGAGTATCAAAATGGAATCTTTGTGTGACCGAATGGCAAACAATGTCTATTTTAGATAAAAATTCACAAGGTAGGATTTATGGGTAGCCTGAGGTGATAGGTGAGGTTAGATTGTGCCAACAGGGCGCAGATCGAGCAGATTTGGAATAGTATCAATCTAAGACCTTGAAATGGAATCTTGGTGCGATTAAAGGGTAAATGGATGAATTTTGAGCTAAAATTTCATGGGTAGGTATGTTGGGAGGTCTTGAGTCTGGTAGAGTGGTAGGTGTGTCGGATCTAGTGGTCAAGGTGTTGATGGGGATTGATCAGGGCCATCATAGTGATATCAGAGAGGTTTAACGGTGGATTCAGGGCTTTTGGGCTGAAAGTTGGGATTTTTGGGGTTTTCAGGTGTTTCGGAAGGATCGAAAGGGGCTGATCCAGCATTTGGGG